GATGGAAGAGGATGTGTGCACAGGAGGAAGAGTGGCAATTTCCACGGTTATCAGGCCAGTTATTCACAAGTGGCTTGGAGGGTGGGTTCCTGCACCAGCATAAGCCAGGTACACAATTGTCCAGCCAGGGAACAGTTCTGGAGGATGAGGAGGAGGAACAGTGTTCACAGCAGGGTGGCAAGCAAACCCAGCTCGTGGGCATCACTGGAGCATGGCTGGGGGGATACGGAGGACACAGACGATACATCTCCCACAGAAGACAGCTTGTTCTTGCCTCTGGGCAGCCTGGCACACATGAGCGACTACATGCTGCAGTGCCTGCGCATGGACTGCCGAGTTGCCCAAATTCGAACTTGTGCTAATTACTGGGTGGCCATATAGATAGAGATTGGGTCACCTAATATTCACCAATCTACTCCAAAGATGAAAAAACGGAGTATGAGAGGTTGAATTTGGGTGACTAACTGGTCAGGTGGTGGTGCCAGCACCACCTTGGGCTTTTACCCTAATTAATAAACTAAAAAACGAAAGAAAAAACCTCCAAAGAAAAGTGGAGATCTCAGGCTGGCAATATTGTAAATAGACAATGGATGTGGAGATGTACTTAAAAATTCTTAGTGGTTATAGTTACCATCAATATGGGGAACAGCATTTAATCATGCTGATTAGTGTCTTGTCAGCAGTAAATAAATAAAATATGGACAAATGTCTTTATTAGATTCTTGTTAACCGACAGAGCAACTCTAAATCACAATCCCCCTGTATGGCTATATACGGTCTAAAAAGGGACCGAAATAAGATTGCCAGCGGGCGGAAAAGAAAATAAATACCCCTTTTCTGAATATATAGATGTAGGCTGAAAAATAAAGTAAAAAGTCTGCAGAGGCGGCTACCCTAATATCTATGAAAAACACACACAGACACTTCATTCGTTTCTATGGAGAACTGAGAACAGAGGAAAGTAGCCAAAAGAAATAGTGTATTGCGATGATGAGCGGAGCCCCCCTAATCATCAAACATTCCCCCACGGTGCTGGACTGTTAACCTTAGGAGAAGACAGAGACACTCTAATATAAACCTCCTAATGGTCCTAACTCTCCTCCAGCGCCTTCCTGGGTATTCTACACTAAGGTACACTCTGATTGTTCCGAACTGCCTAATCTGCTGTAGCCACAACCATCTAAGAACCACTAATGAAAAATAATAAAGAGTGGGTCTAAACACCCATTAAATGAAATAAAGGTTTCCCCGAGATTGTGAGGTGAAAAGAAAAACAGAATGAGCTAACGCCCGACACGCATTTCGGTGTGTAAACCACACCTTCGTCAGGGGCTAAAAATTGTCAGCCGGGGAGCCCGGGACTTTTAAAATGTATAGCGACCAATCACAATGGGGATCCCCATAGTCGTCATCAGTGACGTGCAGATCCAACGTCACTGATGACGTGCCGTGTCACGTGATGGTGGGTGGTCGCACCTACGGTGTTCCCACGTTCGCATCCCAAACCACGTAACAGTGGGTGGTGATGTGGGCGGGGCTCCTATGATGCTATGCTTCCCCACTCAATCATGAACGGCATATTGAAGGGGGATCGTCACTCCCAGATTGTGATTGACAGTGCAATCTGTCAATACAAGCCATTCACAGGCTAAAAGTGGGGTGTAAGGTTACTGACGAATATTAAGAGGAGGATATACACCTCTTTTATGAATTATTTGTGTAAAATGGGGAATAATAGTAACAATGATAATAATATCACTGGGTGGCCACCCTGCTGGATCCCCGTTACAAGGACAACATGCCGTCCTTAATTCCCTCACTGGAGCATGATCGGAAGATGCGCGACTACAAGCGCACACTGGTAGACACGCTGCTGAGGGCATTCCCAACTGACACCGGGGGCTTAATGGTGAAGGCAGAGGAGGAGGAATTGGTCGCCAATGCAGCTGGGGCACCACCAGCACCTCAGAAGGCAGGGTTAGCATGGCCGAAATGTGGAAAAGCTTTGTCAGCACGCCACAACAACCAGCACCACCATCTGATATGGAACGTCTTAGCAGGAGACAGCATTTCAGCAACATGGTGGAACAGTACGTGTGCACATGCCTACACGTACTGACTGATGGGTCTGCCCCATTCAACTTCTAGGTCTCCAAGTTGGGCACATGGCCTGAGCTTGCCCTTTGTGCCTTGGAGGTGCTGGCCTGCCCTGCAGCCAGTGTATTGTCTGAACATGTGTTTAGCACGGCAGGGGGCGTTATCACAGACAAGCGCAGCCGCCTGTCCACAGCCATGAATGTTATGTTATTTTAAGTGATTTCCCTATCCACATTTGTTTGCAGGGCACTTGTCCGACTCTTACCCACATTTTACTTCCTTTTGCAGCCCTCTAGCCCTTTCCAGGACTTTTTTACAGCCATTTTAGTGCCCAAAAGTTCGGGTCCCCATTGACTTCAATGGGTTCGGGGTCAAGTTCGGGTCAAGTTCGAGCTCGAACGTTTTGACGAAGTTCGGCCGAACTCGGCGAACCCGAACATCCAGGTGTCCGCTCAACTCTACAAATAAGTCAATGGGACCTGATGGAATACACCCAAGGTTATTAAAAGAGCTTAGTGATGTACTAGCAAAACCATTAACAGATTTATTTAACCAATCATTGTTAACAGGAGTAGTCCCAGAAGATTGGAAGTTAGCGAATTTTGTGCCCATTCACAAGAAAGGTAGTAGGGAGTAGTCGGGCAACTGTAGGCCAGTAAGCCGTACTTCAGTAGTGGGGAAAGTAATGGAAACAATGTTAAAGGATAGGATTGTTGAACATTTAAAAACACATGGATTTCAAGATCAGAGACAACATGGGCTTACTTCAGTGAGATCATGCCAAACTAATCTTATTGATTTTTTTTGATTGGGTAACTAAAATAATAGAGGGGTAGGTGGAATAGCAGAACTTGTAATTGTAGTATGTGGCTGCTGAAACTTCCCAAAAACCAGAGTCTCTTCTTTTCTGGTGGTACGATGGATGTAAATAGTAGGATCAGGGAGCAGCGCCTGTGATGGAATTCCCATGCTCAGAGCAATATGGAGGAGGGAAGGAAAAAGACACGGATATAATGTAGTGAACTTCAGGGAGATCATGCCAAACTAATCTTATTGATTTTTTTGATTGGGTAACTAAAATAATAGATCAGGGTGGTGCAGACAGACATTGCTTACCTAGATTTCAGTAAGGCTTTTGATGCACATGGAAGGCTTATCAATAAACTGCAATCTGGGGGGGCGTGGCTAGCAGCGATACCGAACGGACGTCTCACTACAGAGCTCCGCTCAGGACTGAGAAACTATCTATATTAATAGCCACAAAAACCAGAGATTTAACTCCAAAACGCAGACATCCCCCCTATAGAGACATGGGGCGCAGAAATAAGAAGGCACAGGGACCGACGAGCTCCCACCAGCGAGATATTAGAACTTCCTTTGAGCGGCCGACAGACTCACAGGCCGTAAAGATGGCGCCGGACCCACGCCGCACACATGCGGAATCCGAGGCCTCGCAGGACGAAGAAGATCCCACACCCTCCCCCCAGTCCGAAACACCATCATGCCTCTCTGAAGTGGAGGAAGACGAGACACCCTCTACAAAAGGGGACATTAACAGACTCCTCGCAGAAATGAGGAATATATGGGGTGCGGACCTCAAGCAAGTCCAAGCTGGAGTGGGGGAGCTGAACCAAAGAGTTAAGGCACTTGAAAGCCGTGAGACGGCCAGAGAAAATAATCGGACGGCCGGGGACACCCGACTGGACAAACTTACCTCTCAGGTGCAGCAACTGAGACGATCGGTGACCACAATTGAGGCAAGGCACCGGCGGAAAAACCTCCGTCTCCGAGGGGTCCCCGAGTCGATAACCGATGAACAGCTTCTACCCTACGCCCACAAGCTGATGGTACACATGGGAGTGAAGGGAGATGCCGACAGACAGCGGTTCTCCGCAGCATTCCGAGTGCGGAAATCGGCGGCAGCCCCAAGTGGAGCACCCAGGGACATCATCATGGTGACTCTAGATATCACTATAAGGTCAGCTATAATGGCACGTTCCCGTGAAATGGGGGCAATCATTTATGGAGGACACAGAGTGGCTATATTCCCTGACATACCATTCGCCGTCCTCACAGAGAAGCGAAAGCTGGCACCTATAGCCAAGAAATTGCGTGACTCAGGAATGAGATTCCGCTGGGGAGTGGAGGGTATGCTCCTAATGGAAATAGAGGGAGAGAGTGTGGTCTTGACATCAGAAGATGACCCGGAGCCCTTCCTGCAAAAAGTGGGTCTGCCCTCGGCACGGGACATCCCCACGATAGCCAAGAGCCCCGAACGTCCAGAGAGTCCCAGTGGGGCTGACCTCACACAAGGCAAACTACCCAACTTTCAGATAAAGAGACTGACTCCTGCACACAGAGCCGCAGACACAAGACCGTCTGAGAAGAAGGACCGAAAGAACACCACCACTAACAGGGACTTCCTATGGTAACCGGACTTAATCTGCTGACCTACAAACACCGACCACCGACCGTACACTTCGACACAGCGACAAGCAGGGCACGCACCTGAAGCCCCATCACTTGTCCAGTGGACGCTCTCCATGGACGACCACGTAGAGACCCACACGCCCACCTACATACATGGCATTACTAATAAGTGGCATGACTGAATGGACTGCCTAACTGCTGGCGAAGCGACACTATATATACTGCGATACTAAATTTCATAGGCTAATGTATTATGGCACCACCATAATAGAGATTTTCCTAATATAATGTTACCAGGGATATTACATTGCTGGAGATGTTGCATATTGAGAGATGTTACATAATCAAGGGGTTGCAGAACCAGGGATGGTGTAGTACCTGAGATATAGCAGTGCAGAGATGTTGCATCAATAGAGAGGTTGCACTAATGGAGTTGTTGCACTACCAGAGATGTTAATTTGCCAAAAATGTTGCATTACCAGAGCTGTCGCACTACTAGAGTTGTTGCATTAACTGTGTTGTTGTATTATCAGAGCTAAGGTGCTGCCAGAGATGCTGCATAACCATAAGGGCTGCATTACTCTATATCCTACACCACTCTATATCCTACACTGCCTCGTATAATGCATAAATACCTTACTAAGTTACACAATGTATATGCAGAGAGAAGAGTATTGCCAAATACATGGTACAACTATAATCCCACATAGCAAAAGAGACTACACTACTGAGCATATGACCCAACTATGACAACGCATACTCGCATGTCTAGAATAAACGTCCACGTGGACTACACTTTGCATTTCTAACGCAGGCCCTCATTGTAGATACTGCATAAATACACAATAGGCCTTACTATACACATGTGGTGCCGTTAATCCTGCTGCGCTCTCTCAAATAAATTGCATTGTCGGGAATATATTGCACTGTCAGGAATGTATTATAGAGGGGTCATTATGCAAAATACCTACATGGACGGCTCCACTACTCAAATCACAGTGCTAGCCATATCATGGTGCTAGATAGACAATAATACAGAGTTGAGGAATAACCACGTTCTTAATTTGTTGTACTACTGATTGTAACGCATAACTATGTTGATAACAGAACCTCATATACTGAGTAAATGTATACGTTGATATCTTCAAAATAAAAAAAAATTCAAATTTAAAAAAAAAAATAAACTGCAATCTTTAAGTTTGGATTCCAATATTGTTGAATGGGTAAGGCAGTGGCTGAGCGACAGGCAACAGAAGGTTGTAGTCAATGGAGTATATTCGGCTTGTCACAAGTAGGGTACCTCAGGGATCTGTACTTGGACCCATTTTCTTTAATATTTTTATTAGTGATATTGCAGAAGGTCTTGATGGTAAGGTATGTCTTTTTGCTGATAATTCTAAGATATGTAACAGGGTTGATGTTCCAGGAGGGATAAGCCAAATGATTTAGGTAAACTAGAAAAATGGTCAGAGTTGTGGCAACTGACATTTAATGTGGATAAGTGCAAGATAATGCATCTTGGACATAAAAACCCAAGGGCAAAGTACAGAATATTTGATAGAGTCTTAAGCTCAACATCTGAGGAAAGGGATTTAGGGGTAATTATTTCTGATGACTTAAAGGTAGGCAGACAATGTAATAGAACAGCAGGAAATGCTAGCATAACGCTTGGTTGTATAGGGAGAGGTTTTAGCAGTAGAAAGAGGGAAGTGCTCATGCCATTGTACAGAACACTGGTGAGACCTCACTTGGAGTATTGTACACAGTACTGAAGACCGTATCTACAGAAGGATATTGATACTTTAGAGAGAGTTCAGAGAAGGGCTACTAAACTAGTTCATGGATTGCAGGACAAAACTTACAAGAAAAGGTTAAAGGAACTTAACATGTAAAGCTTTGAGGAAAGACGAGACAGGGGATATGATAAAAACATTTAAATACATAAAGGGAATCTACACAGTAAAGGAGGAGACTATATTTAAAAGAAGAAAAACTATCCCAACAAGAGGACATAGTCTTATATTAGAGGGACAAAGGTTTAAAAATAATATCAGGAAGTATTACTTTACTGAGAGGGTAGTGGATGCATGGAATAGCCTTCCAGCTGAAGTGGTAGAGGTTAACACAGTAAAGGAGTTTAAGCATGCGTGGGATATGCATAAGGCTATCCTAACTATAAGATATGGCCATGGACTAATGAAAATCTAAATTTAAAAATAAAATTATTGGGCAGACTAGATAGGCCGAATGGTTCTTATCTGCCGTCACATTCTATGTTTCGATGTTTCTATTTTGGGTTTCTCTGTGTGTAAGGGAAACATGTTGTGTTTCTGTGTGTGTGTCGTGCGTTTGTGTGTGTGTGTGCACGTAGTGTGAAAGAGCTTCCCTTTCCTATAGAGCTTTCCCTTCCATCCCTTAGAGCTCTCCTCTGCCCCTTTGTGGCCTTAGTGGTCTATACTCTCCTCCCCTCCCTTAGTGTTCTCTCTTTTCCTTCCCGACTTTCCATTAGTGTTCTTTTGTCTCCCCCTAAGTGGTCTCTCCTCTCCCCCCCCTTCCATTAGTGGTCTCTCCTCCCCCCCATCCCTCCCCTAGTGGTCTCTTCTCACCCCTCCCCCCTTCCTCTAGTGGTCTCTCCTCCCTAGGCGGCTGTGGCGGAACCAACCTCGCCACTGTGCACTGGAGAAGCCTGGTTGCCAGCCTCCTGCCATGTGACTATGGCCCCTGGGATGTATTGCCCTTTAAAGACATGATTTGGGCATAATGGATTTGTGTTGTGCTGCTGCTGGCCCTTTTAAGAACCATTTGGGGACATACTGTGGAGTTACTGGGTGGCCACCATTTCCTGTATCAGAAGCACATGGTGAGAACAATGGATGGCGGCCATTTTAACTCACAGACACTGTGTGGACTTTTCAACACGGTGCCATCTTGCCAGTATTTGTTGCACAGAGACATCGTGCGGTGGTGTTGGACTATACAGCAGGGGACACATTATACAGTGATTATTTTTTATTTAGCCTGTATATGTTCTGCAGAATCTGCATTAAACTGTATTTTCCAAAGTACTGAACGGATCTGGGTGAATTTTGGATATGTGGTTCACCCAGATCCCCCAGTTCCAAGGATATACTTTTATGGGGTTATTGCATGTTTTGGGGTCCCTGTGATGTGTTTTATGAAACTGTATTTCTCTGGCTGTGATAATTAGATTACCCATTGTGTTCAGTAATCATATCACAGCCAGAGGGGAGGATTTTGTGTGGGAGTGTCTGGGTGTATTGTATGGATTGATTGGCTGTTTTGTAACGCCCTGTGGGCTGTACTATGTTTGTGGATTGGGAATAAAAGAGACTGTATGTGACAGTACAGGGAGTTCCTGTTTTAACCCTCAAAGTGAAGTGTCGTCTCATTATTGGGGAAGGATTTATTGTATGCTGTTCCAGTTTGACTGCTAGGAGAGTAAACCTATTCGTATGGTTCCTATTCAACTGTCTACAGCATTCATATGCTTGAGAGAAGGTAAACGCTTCTCTGGTTCGGTGATTGTGGTGTCGGCTGCAGTGCTTGGAGTCCTCAGGAAGCGCTAGGAGCATCTTTCAATGGAGGTACCCAGTCGGGGTGCTAGGCGATCCGTTACAGCGGCTGCCTAGTTAGCCTTATAGGAAGCGCTGGCCCTGCATATAATTACATTTGCTTGCGCTGCGCAGAACAAATATAGGGCCTTTTTCTCATGCTAGACCTCTTCAACCAACATGCTCACTTTGAGAGGGGGCATGCTTGTCATTAGTGATGACAAAACACATCCTCTCTGGCCCCGCCCCCTTCTCAGGGGACCGCTGTGATTGAAAAATGCCGGGGCCAATTTTTTTTCCCAGCCTGGCCCTGGAGGTGACCTCCTTACAAGTAGGCAGAGGAACACTACAGCATTAGGAATACACAGCCTATGAATTAACCCCTTAAGGACAGAACTTCTGAAATAAAAGGGAATCATGATGGGGGTTAAACTAATTACAGCTGTGGTATCATGCAGCTGAAGTGCAGGCTTTCTCATATATAGCTATGGGAGAGCCTGCACAATTCACTGAGGAGTTGCATAGTATGTTCACAGCAAGATCTTGTACTATTTAGGGTGAAGTTTTGCTCCCCTCATTCCCAGTCATAGCAAGATGAGTGGTTATGTACATTTAGCTGTTTCAGTTTTACAAATCTGTGAACAGGATGGAGGAGGCCTGGATCAGTAAACGTCTTGCACCAATTGTTATAATAATTAGAGTGACTAATTTTATTGGTTAAATTATCCTGACAACGGCTCTTGTTTTACGTATAGAACATGGCATTAAAAATGATAAAATATTCCTTTTTTTAAAAATGTAAAACAAACAATGAAATGATAAGTTATATTCTGTAACCATGTTTCTCGTTTATTTACTTGTTATAATAACGAGATCTAAGAAATGATATAATAAACTAGAAGTACAGATTTTTTCTGTAAATAGAATGATGTCATAGTTACCCTCAAAGCATTTGTGGTATTTTAGACAAATCACAAAAGGAAATACGAGTTTTATTAGCATTGGAAAAACAATGCATAATTGTTCTTTATAAATATTAATTTCTATTGATGTAATTCAGTGGAGAATATTTTAGACACCAGTGTCTCATTATGTATGGCTTAACCATTTTCAGCCATTAATTGCATCCTCTGAAGTGTTTCTTACCATTTTATATAACACGTTGCAAATTTTATGTAACCCCCTAATTAATTTAATTTGCTGATATACATTTTTTGAGTTAAGGTGTGATTCATACTTAAGAATTAAAATGTAAACTATGTAGGAAGAATATATAATACCCATTACTGTTAAACTATACCTAGCTATAAATATCATGCAGTATGTACTCAATCTTAGAAATAAGCTGTGTTCCTGTGGTTTTTTTATTCAATGGCTGCATTAAATATATATTAAACGTCTTTCCCTTGTGGTTTCTCAGAATGGTTGATTTGAATTAAAAAAAAATGTTGAGACAACCTTTACTACGTGTTCTGTAAATTCAAAGAAATATATGTGTGTATAGAGCAATAACTGTGAGCCCTTTAGCAATATCTGTAGTGTTATAGTCAGCAGATAAGGACGATCTGATTAAGTAAACCTATATACAGTTGCAAGAAAAAGTATTGGAACCCTTTGGAATGATATGGATTTCTGCACAAATTGGTCATAAAATGTGATCTGATCATCATCTAAGTCACAACTATAGACAATCACAGTCTGCTTAAACTAATAACACACAAAGAATGAAATGTTGCCATGTTTTTATTGAACACACCATGTAAACATTTACAGTGCAGGTGGAAAAAGTATGTGAACCCTTGGATTTAATAACTGGTTGAACCTCCTTTGGCAGCAATAACTTCAACCAAACATTTCCTGTAGTTGCAGATCAGACGTGCACAATGATCAGGAGTAATTCTTGACCATTCCTCTTTACAGAACTGTTTCAGTTCAGCACAGTGGCGTACACATGACCCATGGGGCCCCGGTGCGAAAATTGATCCATGGGCCCCCCCTCCCACCCCCGCGCTTACTCGGCGCGGGTTGGGGCCGCAACACATGGCGGTGGGCATCTGGTCGCTGTGGTTGTAGGGCTGCGACCCCGCGACCGCGGTATGCACACACACTTAAAGGACCACTACAGACACC